CCGAGGAAGGTTGGCCCCCCTCTCAGCACCGCGGAGAGTCTCCACCGACAGGGGTTCGCCCCCCGGACAAGGGCCAGCATTGCCTGGGCGACCCGGGCCGAATCTTTGCGGTGGCCCCCTCCTACCCGGGGGAGGGGGGTGTCTGCTCCCCGGGGGAGGGGGGTGTCTGCTACCCGGGGGAGGGGGGCCTCTGAAGGGGGGAGGGGCGCGGTTTCCTGGCCATCTTGCCCCGGGTGGGGGCGGAGGGGGTCTGTTTGTGGGGGCGCTGGGGGTTGAAGGGTGAGGGGGGACTGAGTCTCTGGCTGGGGTCTGACCCGGAGGCTCGAATCCCGGCCCTGGGGGCTGCTGATCCATGGACTGACCCGGGGATTCACCCGTGGACTGACGCAGGGATTGGCCTGGGGTGGGACCCCGGGTCCCACGACCACCTCTCGGACCCCTCGGCCCGTAGCCCCTGGCAGCCCCTCGAGCCCCCGGAGCCCCCCGCCCCCTCCCTCCACGACCCGGTAAAGTCGGCGGGACTATGATGATGGGCGGAATGTGCGTCTCCTCTTTGGTGCTTGAGAGCTCGGGGCTGGGGACGGGGGACACACGCTGGTCGATCTCTCTCAGCACGGGCGTCAGTTCGTCGGGGTCGGCCGCCGGCTGGGAGGGGCTCACGCCACCGTTATCGTTCTCCTCGTTGTTGTCGTCTTTGTTGTCGTCGTCGGCTGTCTCGCCGTGCTCCTGGGGGTGAGGGTGGGGGGAGGTTGGGGGGGGGGGGAGAGACCGAGGTTCTGTTTGTGGACTAGTCTTGTTTGTACTAGATCTAGGCACTGAGTAGATAGAACTTTATGATTTTTTGTTTTTTTGTTTTTGTAAAGTGTTTTACGGCGCTCGCAACTGCATAGGTCATATGAGCGCGCGGGACACACCTAATATTTTCAGTAGGTAGGAAATTTTGAATTTTGCCCCGGTGGCGGCCGAAGCCTACTCTTATCGATTTTAGACCACCAAGGGATCTTAAACGTGCGCAACTTGCACACGGGCCCTCCGAGATTTTTCGCCCTTGTCCGAGAAGGCTAGGTGTAGATCTTTCCTAACAGAAGATCAGGGGTGTGGCAGAAAGACAGCAGTAAGGAGGAGCCAAGGAGTAGCAGTAGAAAGGCTGCAGAAAGAGTCAGGAGCCCAGAGGAGGGGGCAAAGGAGGTGAGGGGATGGGGGCAGAAAGTGGAAATGAAAGCAGACAACAGAACATTGCTAGAGAGCAGGAAAGGAAGTGAAAGGAGACAATTTTAGAGAAAAACATTTTTTGGTCGCTACCCGGATTCGAACCCGGGACCTTTGAATGAGAGGCCAACACCTTAACCTCTAGGCCACCAGAGACCTCAACTTTATGATTGTAGGGTAGCAACTAGGTACTGAGTAGATATAACTTTATGACTCTGGGGTTTCCCGGAACTTCACGGTGACATTAAGGATGGTTCAAGTTGGGAACGGGATAGAGGGTGCCCACGTCCCTCGTGACTCATTGGAGAAGAGGAAGAAAGGACTAACGCTAACATTACTTCAACGCAATCCCACATCATCACTCATCACCACCATTATTTCTAAAATCATCATCGCTCTCAGATCAATGACTTACATCTATAATCCTTGAATCTCTGTCTGTAAAAGTTACTTGTCTTACTACTAAGTATGCCCGTAATACACTATTGGACACTATCATACGCACATTTTTCTACTAATCAGATGGCGTCAATCTCATAGAAATGGGCAAGGGGTTCAAAAACAACAACCCAAAAAACCCCAAAAACCCAAAAGGTCTGGGGTTTCCAGTTGGTCACCTGGTCTTTTGTTTTGTTTTAGCTGAGGTTTTACGGCGCTCGCAACTGCATAAGATCATATGAGCACCAGAAGATTAGAGGTGTTACAAGAGAGTAACAAACATAAAAAAGAAGGAAGGGAGATAAGGACGATAGATCTTTGATAGGAAAGAAGAAGCAAACCACACCAGAGCACCCACCAACCACCCACTCACCTGGTCTGTGTGAAGCTGTGGGCTGATGGACAGTTTGTAGAGCACGTGTGCCAGCCCCGTGAGCTGCACAGAGTACTCTTCCACACCCCAGAAACTTTTGCCGTCCTCCAGGACAGAGAACAACTTGGACAGGTTCATGTTGACGTCAGGGAAGTGGAAGCGGAGCGTCTCCGAGTCGCCGTACACCTTAGGGACAAACAGACAGACACATGATATAACGTCTCTGAGTCGCTGTACACCTGTGGAACAAACAGACAGACACATGATATAACGTCTCTGAGTCGCTGTACACCTGTGGAACAAACAGACACATGATATAACGTCTCTGAGTCGCTGTACACCTGTGGAACAAACAGACAGACACATGATATAACGTCTCTGAGTCGCTGTACACCTGTGGAACAAACAGACAGACACATGATATAACGTCTCTGAGTCGCTGTACACCTGTGGAACAAACAGACAGATGATATAACGTCTCTGAGTCGCTGTACACCTGTGGAACAAACAGACACATGATATAACGTCTCTGAGTCGCTGTACACCTGTGGAACAAACAGACAGACACATGATATAACGTCTCTGAGTCGCTGTACACCTGTGGAACAAACAGACAGATGATATAACGTCTCTGAGTCGCCGTACACCTGTGGAGATAACAGAATCAGATAGTTCGACATGTAACTATTGCAACGTCTCTGAGTCGCCGTACACCTGTGGAGATAACAGAATCAGATAGTTCGACATGTAACTATTGCAACGTCTCTGAGTCGCCGTACACCTGTGGAGATAACAGAATCAGATAGTTCGACATGTAACTATTGCAACGTCTCTGAGTCGCCGTACACCTGTGGAGATAACAGAATCAGATAGTTCGACATGTAACTATTGCAACGTCTCTGAGTCGCCGTACACCTGTGGAGATAACAGAATCAGATAGTTCGACATGTAACTATTGTAACGTCTCTGAGTCGCCGCAGACCTGAGGGGACAAACAGACAGACACATGTACCTTGCGTGAGGGAACAAACAGACAGACACATGTGCATTGTGTGAGGGGACCAGCAGAATCAGATAGATCTACAAGTAACTATTGTAATGTCTCCGATTCGCCGTAGACCTGAGGGACGAACAGAGACAGGAAGGGAGGGGAACACTGATAGATCTAAATGTAACGTCCCTAAGTCGCCGTAGATCTGAGGGACAAACAGACACAATGCCATGTACCTGAGTGAGGGGAACACAGATAGACCTACATGTAACATCTCCGAGTCGTCGTAGATCTATGGGACAATAGATAGATCTACTCGTACCTTGTGTGAGGGGAACACAGACACATGTGACATACACAAACACATGTAGCGTCTCTGAGTTGCCGTATACCTGTGGGGATAAACAGACAGACATATGTACCTTGTAGAGGGGACAGACAGACACATAATACATATATAACGTTTCGGAGTCGCCGTAGACTTGAGGGACAAACAGACACGTGTACCTTGTATTTGTAGAGTTTTTACGGCGCTCGCAACTGCATAAGGTCACATGAGCACCAAGGGGTGGATGTCAACAGAGAAGTCCAAACAGGGAATCAGGCTCACTCTGCTCACCTCTCTAGCCTCAACAGCACAAAGTCTGCTTCGACTATCAAGGCAACCCGGAAATAGCGGGTCACAAGAGTGAGACAAACATACGAAAGAAGTAGAGAAAAAAAATGACGACAGTAAGGATGAGGAAAGAAAAAGCTGCCGTTCCCCCTAAGTTGTTCCGGCACAGTATGGGCATGACATTGATAAATCAGCACATTTACAATTCTACTGAGCATAAGAACTTAATCTTTCTTAAGGTGCGTTCAACCAAGACACGGGCGTACGTAGGAAAACTGACATTCCCATCATGTAAAACTAACACACACACAAACGTACATTGGCAAACTGGTAAGTCTCCACCATAGCGTTGAGAAAAGGCTCCTGTGACACCAACCCCCTGTCCTCGCCCGTGCAAATGTGACCAAGACAGACAGACAGACACACACACACACATACACACACACACACACACACACACACACACACACACAA